CTCTCTCTCTCTCTCTGCCTAACTATCTCGCTCCCCTTCCCTCTCCCTCTCCCTCTCCTGCCTCGTCCTCCTCCGCCTCCTCTCTCCCTCTCACCATCTCTTTCGATTTTCGGCTTCATTCGGAGTTTTCATATTTATGGTGTTTTTTCTGTTTCGTTTGCTCCTCTCTCACGACTCACGTCCACTCTCACTCACCCTCACTGACACTGTCATTCTCTCTCTGCTCNNNNTCTCTCTCTCTCTCTCTCTCCCTTACTTATATCTATACTATCTATTTCTTTCTCTCTCGCTCCCTTGAACCCTAGGCCCTAAACCCTAAACCCTAAAGTTTCTCTCTGCGTGACATTACGGTCTGGGCGTGGGGTTTTCGGGGTCGAAGCAATTGTGCCTAAGTGAGTGAGCCTCTAATTCCCGAAGCCACCATATCGGAGAGTGTACTGCCTGCATTGTTCTGCAGCTACTCAGCCTTTGGAGTTGGAGGCAAGATCGTCGTGCTACGAAACCCGACCATGTTGCTTTCACCTGAAATCTTACCTCGACGGCACCCTGTATGTATTCAGAAACGGGATTTGTGAATCTTGGCTTCAGTGTTGAGGGATTAGGCTAGGATTGTGCCGTAGGCTAGGGTTGCTAGTAAGCCTGGAACCAAAACGTTTCCTCGTTGCCCCGCCTCGTTGCGAACCCCGACGATGTCTGGCGGCTGGTGGAGCTGACTGGAGCACAGCACATCGGCAGCCAGCTGGCTAAGAGTTCTTTCCAGGAAGTTCGTATTCATCTTCAGCACATGATCATGCACCGCCATGAGCTTCTTGCTGTTCTTTTGCTTAGTGCAGATCAGCAATGGACAATGACTTCTAAGCCAGACTCACACGGTGCATTTTAGTCTAGCACAGTACATAAATGCACCAAGGCACAAGCTCCACACACAAGTCGCGGAAGGGTTGCATGAGCGTGCGGGTGAACTTCCACAGAGTATGGACTTGTTCATCACACAGAGCCTGCTTCAGGATTTAGATTGAGAGGTTTGGTTTTGGGAGTGGCTCAGGGATTGATTCGGCCTTGATGCACAGATCAAGTACTTTGTCCCAGGACTTCTCAAGGTTTGCTTGGCCGGCTGTGTCCAGCACCGCAAAGGGGTTGTTTCCGGTCTGGCAGCAAGATCGCATCACTATAGCTAGGGCTTTGTACGTTCACATGACCCGTGACATCGGCGCTATTTGCAGCAGCATTGTGCCTCCATTCCAGACCAGAACAGGAGCAACAAAGTTCCCGAAAATTGGCATCTCTGGGAAGCGAAAGCCCAGCTACACCAGCGTTTGTGCTCGTAGCTCTCTTGATGAATCCTTCAGGGGCAGTAATCACTGGAACATCTGTCCTTCTCTCTCTCTCTCGCGCTCTGCATCCCTTTCTCTCTCTCTCTCTCTCTCTCTCTCACACTCTCTCTCTCTCTCTCTCTCTCTCTCTCTCTATCTCTATCTCTATCTCTATCTTTATCGTTATCTCTTTATCTGTATCTCTACCTCTGTCAGTCTGTACAGATAAGAGCAGTATGTTCATATAAGTATTTAAGTAAGAGTAGAAACTTAAGCCTTGTAGTCACTGGTTCATGGATACTTAGAATAATTGAACTGACAAAACAGCGTCCTGCAAAGCTTCCCGATAATCACACAAACCCGGTCGAAGTTCACCTGGTCGTCGCACTCCGGGGTCATGCCGTTCCTGCTTCATGAACAGAACAGCAAAAACAATGCGAATAAAAGGGCTGTTCCAGCCAAGCTGCTCAATGAGGATGTGGTGGCCGAAGAGCTGCTGCAGAACATCGTCAGCTGATGCCTGGGTAGCACGAAGAATTAAGAAGCACCCCTAAATTAAGTTAAACCCTAAACCCTAAACCCCTAAACCATTCCAAGTGGCTGCATCAAGATATCGCTTGCCGGCAGCACAAAGAGTGCTGCCGATCCCGTGCGTTTTCCATGGGCTTCTGCGGCTTCTGTAGAGCCACGACGTGAGCACACTCATTCCTCAGACACAGGATGTCCGTAGCAGCTAGCACATGTATCTAGAGCAACCAGAACTTTACTCGAATCCGAGGATCGCTTCATCATGGGCGACGATGCCAGCACTCGATGGCAATGCTGGCTCAATTTGTGACTCGGCTTCTGCTGGACAACAATTACGGATTACTTCTGCACATTCCCTTGGAAGCAAGTATATAGCAGCCTAGCAGCAGCTCATCGCGGCACAAATTGATGGAGGCATTCCTCGTGGCCAGAAAAACATAGCTGCTGAACATCGGGCTTCCTTCGTCAGGGCAGACTACCAATCGAATGTGAGAGGAATCACCTTGCGGGACGTCCCATCTCGAAGCCCCGTCTTCCATAGATGTAATGAAAGGCATAGAATCCTCGCCCACTTTGTAAGTCGTCAGAATCTCAGAAGATGGGTTCAAAGCCTTCAAGGGGCACTTGGGAAAAATCTCATCGAGCGATACTCCCAGGTGATTGAGGACATTGCCAACAGCTCGGATGTGTTCTCTGGCGGTGAGCTTCTCTTGGTGGAGGCTGCTGATGATTCTGGGCCTTTTGATAAGAATGCTAAGAATGCTACAAATTGCGCGTAATCAGTGGGCTGTGCTTCTGAATGTAAGCAGCATACAAGCAACGAGAAAACAGTTAATAGCCGAGCTGCATCTTGGGTCGATGCTCCTTCGTGTTGCGGTCTGCCACCAGCAGCTTTGTAGTGGAGTCGGCCACTTCTTGAGCGGCTTTCATCTTTTCTGCAGCATCAACGGTGCTGGGTTGCAAAGCCGACAGCTTCTGTAAAGTTGCCACAGATGCAAACTGATTCACGGAGACGACAGGGAGCCAAACCTGGGGTGGTTGTGCATGGCTTCAGATACACTACCAGACTGTTGCATGGTTTCTCAAAGCAGCCGAAATGCATCAACACATCCCTTCGGGGATGCATCGCACAGAAAGGCCAAGCTCTTCAGCGATTGCTTTGCCATCTCCTGCGGGCAACTACATCTGGCTGTACATCCAGTGAATGCACGGAAGAGCCTGGGACAGCATCTCGCCAGTTTTTCGAAGATGTCTGTAGACATAATCCGAGGCTGTCCTTGCAGGTCCAAAGTTTGTTTGGTTCAAGACCCAGCAGTTACAGACCATAGTAGCTCACCAACCATATTCAGATTAAGGGCCGCGGAAAGTTCGAGGGGAGGAATCCGCCCAAATCCAAAGACTCAAGGCTGCTCTCTTGAGTGGAGCAGACAAATCCTCCTCCTCTCGTCATGAACCGTTCGATTGCTAGCATATTCTGGATCTTCGGCTCACCACGGGCTCGTCGCCCATCCCTGGGTCAGTTCGTTGTCAAGACACAACCACACTGCCACGTGTAATTCGGAGCACGTGCTAGAGATACCCCATGCACAGCTGCCTACCGAGTGGCCTTGTAGCAGGGTGCAGAACATCTCCACTTTGCGGCATTGGCAGGGTTGCTTGCAGCACATTGCTCAGGTGGCCCTCGGCGAGCTGCCCCAGGCGATGAATCAGTCGCTTGTGTACCCGGCCATATCGAATCTCGTCCTATCAGAATTAGCGGCTTGTGTTGCAAGGCAGCACGGACTGCCCTGTTCAGCGGCGGTCCTGAAAGGATTCCTGGAAAGGTGCTCGCAAGAGGAACCATGCCACCGTAGACATTCGGATTCCTGCAAAGTCTTGACCAGCACTATGTTCAATAGCCGAGTAGGAACTTCAAACAAGCCTGTGTGGAGGCTTCGCTGTGCAGGCGTGAGGAGCTGGCTGCGTTCCCACCTTCAAGTTTAGGGCTTTTGGGGTTTAGGGTTTTTTGGGTTGAGGGTTTAGGGTTTAGTTTAGGGCTTAGGGTTTATTTAGGGTATTAATTAGAAGAAGAAAGGAGAGCCTCCCAGTAAGGTCGGTGCAGTCCAGGAAAAGTTTAAAGCTTTTCAGGTCGACCTGGTGGTCTTTGACTTCAATCGAGCCTAGGCTTTGGCGTCAGCACACAATATGGCTAGGTCATTGAAGAGGTAAACATCTAGTTAATTTAGTCCTAGGCTCATTCATCGTTGCCGGGCAGAAGATCCAACACATAATTGGCTGGCAAGGCAACCCCTGTAATCACTTCCAGAGCCGCCATCGCAGACTTTTGCAACTCAGGTTTGCAGCCGCGGACTTGCAAACCACAGGCCACCTGGGCATCGCAATTTCATAGACTCAGAAACCGGGAATTATGGCGAATGGCGTGCGTGGCAAGACTGTTCCGCTTGATATTGCTGCAAAGGCACAGAAAATAACAGACCGGGCGTTGTCATAGCGTCGAAGCTAATTCGTAGCCGGTCAGGCACTACAGCAGCCTTGTGCCCACGGTACTCTTGTCTTCGAATGAGATGCTTGCTGAGTGGCACTCGCCATGCATCGGCCAATTGGGCTCCCTGGAGCTCTTGCCTTAGACACAATTATTACATGTGCGGCAGTGACGAAGTGCTTGTTAGGAAACCCAGCTACGACAATCCAAGCTGCATCTTCGTGAACCAATTATGAAAAGGC